GAAAGCAGGGCTTGAATTGTCTTCTTCAGTTCTTTCAGCTTGAGACATGCTGAGTGCATTCTTCTCTTTTGTATTTCTAACTCCAGGTTTTTGCACATTTAAAAAATAATAATTGGCTTTGTCTTCTCCAGCTGTCCTTTGAAATTTTCTATTCAGCTCTCATTTCTTTTACTTGCTTTTGCATCTCTTTGCTGGAAAGCAATTTGGGGTTTCTTTTGACATCCATTTTTGTCTTTTCTTTCTTTCCTGTCTTCTTAATAACCTTTTCTGCTTTCTTTCTGTATGATGTTCTTGATATCATCCCACAATTCTTCTCAGCTTCCGTTATTAGTGTCTAATGCATCAAACCTGTTCTTGAGATGGTCTCTAAATCCAGGTGGGATATGTTCAAGGTGGTAAGTGCACCTGTTTTAGCATTTGTCAGTTTTAGCCTGCACTTGCATATGAGTAATTGATGGTCTGTTCCACAGTCTGTCCCTGGCCTTGTTTTGGCTAATGACATTGAATTTTCCCACTACCTCCTCAATTTGATTTCTGTGTATTCTATCTGGTGAGTTCTGTCTGTATAGTTAGCTTTTATGTTGTTCAAAAAAGGAATTTGCATTGAATAAGTCATTGGTCTTACAAAATTCTGTCATGCAATCTCCAGCATTGGTGTTATCACCAGGGCCATATTTTCCAACTACTGATCCTACCTCTTTGTTTCTAACCTTTGCATTCCAATTTCCTACAACTATCAAAATATCTTGATTGCATGTTTGATCAGTTTTAGCCTGAAAAAGTTGGTAGAATTCTTCAATTTCATTATCATTGGCTTTAGTGGTTGGTATATAAATGTGAATAATAGTGGTATTAACTGGTCTTTCTTACAGGCATATGGATGTTATCCTATCACAGACAGAATTGTACTTCAAGATAGATCTTGACATGAATGTGATGCCATTCCTCTTCAATTTGTCATTCCAGACATAGTAAACCATGTGATTATCAAATTCAAAATGGCCAATACCAGTCCATTTCAGCTCACTAATGACTAGGATATGTATTATGTTTTGCATTTCATTACACATTCCATTTCATATTTGACAACTTCTAATTTTCCTAGATTTGTATATTACATGTTCTGATTATTGAAGAATGTTTACAGCTATTTCTCATTTTGAGTTGTGCCCCACCAGCAAATGAAGGTCCTGCAAGCTTTATTCCATTCACATCATCATGGCCAACTTTACTTTGAGGAGGCAGCTCTTTCCCATTCATATTCAGCATGCCTTCTAACCCGAAGGGCTCATCTACTGGCATTTTATCTGACAGTATTCTGGTACTATTCATGTTTTCATTTTCTGGCACTACATCTCACAATGTTTCACTTCTATTCATAAGGTTTTCAGTGGGTAACCATTCAGGAGTAGTCTGCTTCTCCTTCCTAATCTATCTTAATTTGAAAGCTCAGTTGAAATTTGTCCACCATGGGTGACCTTGCTGGTATTTAAAATACTGGTGGCATAGATTCCAGCATCACAGCAACGTACAAGGTAGCACAGAATGACAAAATGCCTGAAGAATGGTAGACATGTGTATAGTATAAATGAAAAGGTTATTTACACTCAATTGTTTTCTATTGTAGTACATCATAAAAAATATTTAGACACTAAATTGGACACTAAAGACTAGAGACTTATTACCTATTAACTCTCTAGTCTATCTGATTACTAAACTAATTTGTAAAAATAAGGTCTTAGGAAGACTTTTAAATCCAGGATCTAGAGCAGCTGGGAATGAAAACCATCAGCAGGCAGGAAGTAGGGTTCCATGGAGGCTGAATCCATAATCTGAATATACAGAGGCTTGAGGTGAAAGGGGAGGCAGGAAAAAGCAGGAGAGCCAACTGGAGATATGAGCAAGGATAACAGAGGGACAATCTATACCTCTACCAGGAAGCATGCCTCATCGCCTCTTGCTACGCTTGTAGATCATGTCAGAGTGTAGCCAGCCAGACATGAAAGTAACATGGTGGCAGTGGCTACTCCGGAATGTCTCCTAGGGATGCAAGGGGTAGTGGTGTGATTGGAATTGGGGCCCATGAAATCTGTCTTAAATCTGCACTAGCATAAAAAAACACTGCTTTAACTTGGGTTCATGCTGGAAACTGGGGAAGATGCTGTTATCAATGCAGCCAATAGTGTCTGTCATGGATTGCATTGTTTTCCTCCAAGATATGTGTCAACTTGGTTGGGCCAGGATTGTCAGTGGTTTGGCAGTTATGCAATGATATAATCACCTTCCACCACAACTCTACATGATGTATTCTAATGTCTACTGTGCTCAGCCCCAATTTGATGTGATTATCCGATGTACTGTAAATCCTCACCATCCTTCTATGATGTTAAGGAGGCTGGATGCCAATCTACAGGGTTAGGTTGTATCTGAGTCAATCTCTTTTGAGATCAAAAAGAGATTTCACAAGCAAGCAGAACTCAAATGGACCTAGTACCGCCAAGAAAGAAAAGCCAGTAGTGGAGTGTGTCCTTTGAACACATGCTGTGAAGTTCCTAGATCCAGAGGAAGGTTGATGCCAATGTGCATGCAGCTCTTCAAGGAATGTTGGGCCTAAAGGTACTGAAAGGGGACAAGAACCTTTCTCCTGAGTTGACAGAGAAAGTCTTCCCCTAGAGCCAGCTCTCTGCATTTGGACTTACAGCTCCAAAACTATGAGAGAAGAGAGTTTTGTTTGTGATATTTCTGTTGGCAGCACTAGATAGCTAAGATAGTGCCCCCTTGGCAGGCGGAAGCTAGTGAGCCACAGAAGGCTGGAGTGAGGAGTATGGCATCTGAGATGAGGCAAGATCAGGATCCAGTGCCAACCCGTGGGGTGTCCAAGGACCACATTGGGATGGTACACCACAATGGTCTGAACAACCAGGAAATAGCTCCATGATACAGGACCAGCATGGCATGAACAAGGAATGGGATCTCAGTGGGGATGGAGTAAGGTTCCCATGAAGAGTAAGAAGAGGGCACAGAGAGCTCACATAGGTGAACATGGCTAACTTGACAGGTTTAGTCTTGATGGGAGGAGGAGTTCACGCCTCTGCAATTCCTGATTCCACTCAGGAATCAGTAGTAGACTGTGTTGATGAGCATGGTAGGACACTAGATACAGAATTTCCTGGAACATTAAAAAAAAAAAAAAAAAAGCAGAGAGGAAACAAGTATAAATTCTTTTAATTTTGTTTACAAACACCAAACTGGAAAACTTTTGAGGGCTACAGAGACTTATAACTGATAATACCTTGCATTTGTAAAACATTACAGTTGCCATAAACTTTTGCATACACTATTTCACATATTCTTACCACAACCCAGCAAAGTAGGAGTCCGGGTACTCTTGCATACATTTTGCAGATAAAGAAATACAAGTGCAAAGTGTTAAGTTCATTTAGTCAGACCTTTTCTTCTATAGATGAGGAATCTGAAGCCCTGTGTTAATTGGCTTACCATCAACCAAGAGCAGATACTCAACAAAGGCAAGGTCCAAGGTCCAAGCCCAGGTCTCTCAGAGTTCCAACCATCTCTTAGTGCTCTATTCTTTATTACACTTCCCTCCCAGCCACTATGGTGCTTAAACCAGAAGTGAGCATGTAGAAAACAGGCCATGAGGAATGGTTAACAAATTTTATTGACTCTACCTTTCTACTCTAGGTTCTCCTAGGTAGTTTGTTCTGACACGCTCTGTGTTTCTTTGCAGCATGTTAAAAGAAAGAGCAAGAACATGGGAAAGACAGAAGCACCCCAAAATCCCACGTTGGTCTTCAGAGGTGTCCAGTGTCAAACTCTATAACTATGCACACATATCTAGATGACACACTCCTTTAGGGTTCATAAAGTCTCTTAAAGATAATAATATGAATTTATGATCTGCTCATAACAGGAAACTTGGAGATCCTTCCCAAGCAGGATCCTATTTGTAAACTAGAAAGCTAAGTTTAACAGAGCAGATAATTAAATCAGAAACTTTGTTCAAAGTAATGCTTTTTAATTAAATGATAATAAAATAAAGAAAAGAAAGGACTCCATACTTAGATTAATTTGATTTAAATTTGCTTGATGCACTTGGCACCAAACATTTATTTGTTTGAATACAAACAAATGAAGTGAACAGAACCACAAAATTATTAAAATGAACTAAGTCCTGGTGTGGCACCACAGGATAAGCAGTAGGCCAGAAGGTCGGTTTGAACCGCAAGGCTGGCAGTTCAAACTCATCAGCCGCTCCTCAGAAATCCTCTACAGGGCCACTATGAGTTAGAACCAACTCAATGACCCTTAACAACAGCATTCAGTATTTGTAACTAAACTGATTTAAGTTATTGCCAATCTCAGATATTTTATACCTTGGACATTAAAAACAACTGAAGGTACAACATAGAAATAGTGAAACTGATAAATGCATAGAAAAGCCAAAGTTTGGTGGAAAACAAGTCTTTTAGTATTATAGGTACTAAGCTATTTATTTCACTAAGCAATACCTCCAAAATGTATTACACTCTTGCTTGCTATTGCACTAAGCTGGACATTTTGTAACTTAGGTTCTACTCGCTAACATAAATCCCAGCCACCAATAAAGCACCAAGAAACATAGCTTTTCTCCCCTACACTACACATTCTATGCCAAATCACATTTTCCACATTGCATCACATCGTTTTTAAGTTGGCAACTAGGAACAAGATTTTCAAGATTCTTTTTCTGACATGGTAATATATATATTATTTTAAATTTAAGCTCAGAAAGGGCCTGTGAGAAATTGTCCATTCAATTCAAATAATGGAAAGACAAATGCTAATTGTCATTATTGGCATATCAAACATGAAACTTTGTATTTACTGTTTAAGTTCTTGGTGAGTTAATTGTAGAGCAGATAATCTGAGTATGGAAACATGTTCATCATCAAAACGCTGTCAAGATCATTTCCATCCACTGTGGTGGAAATTGTCCACCTTTAGACACAGGTAGAATGGTGATAGAATCCACAGCAGTTAGCAAGGGCCATGGCGCTGAACTCATTGTCTTCCCAAGGACCAGAAAACGAAGGACCGTGGGTGCCATTTAGAAATGTACTAAAATTAAAAGCCAAAGGGAAACACGGTGAGTCAGATAAGTACAATATAACAAGACTCTATCAGAAAGCTCTACTAAGCAGCTGAAAAAAACCAAACCAAAACAAAGCAACATCTTACAAGTGGATCCATCACAAATGGTTGAATAAATAGGATCCAGTGAAGTTTATTTTTTCATTCATGCCCAAGTAATAGTGACAAGAAACCCTATATGATGTGTTCTGTCTCTTTGTCCAATTCCTAATCATAATCATTTTGGGAGTTCCCTTTCCAGATACCATTGAGGCAATGTTTTGTTGTTGTTGTTGTTGTTATGTGCCTTGGAGTTGGTTCCGACTCATAGTGACTCTGTACAGGGTTTCTGAGGCTGTAAATCTTTATGAGAGCGGAAAGCCTCATCTTTCTTCCGCGGAACAACTGGTAGTTTCGAACTGCTAACCTTGTGGTTCACAGCCCGATTCGTAACCACTACGCTACCAGAACTCCTTCTGTTAGTGCTTTGTAAAGTGATTTAGAATGGAATCTATTAAAAAAAAAAAAAAAAAGTGACATCACAAGGCCAGTTAGCAATTTTCACTTAGTCATTTGCATTGTAAGATTATGTTTACAATGACATCCATAAGAACATAGGAATTAAAGCTCTACCAGGCCAACAACCTAATCAATTTATAATTCATTTCTCATAGGGCATCAGAAATGTTACTTTTTGGAGGACATTGGTTACATGCTTTTAAGATAACCTCCAAACACAGGAGGGTAACATGCATTAACTTGATTTAGTAACCTGTGAAGCAGTTAACGCCTGAAACATCTACCTACATTGTGAATAGTTCTGCCTACTTAATAACTTTTATTTCCAGCTCTGTTTTCTGTTCTGAACCCCAGGTTTATGAGTTCTTCACATGGTTATTTCACAAGTACCTCCATGTGAATATATCAAAATGTAAATTAAGCCAAAATCTCTTCCTTACTCCCATCCTTGAAACTAGTCCTTTTCCTTTCAGTAAGTGAATGGCACTCCTTAGGCCCACATGTCTAGGCCAGAAAGGAATCAGTCATTTGTGACTCATTTCTCTGCCTCACCCAATGACTCCCTCCTATGAAGCCGATGACGAAACCTATCGGTCTGATGTATCTCCGTCCTCACAACCACTTAATGGTAGCCCTCTTCGTCTTTCACTTGGACCGCTACAACAGTGCTTTCACTCTTCTCCTTCCATCTACATGGCTACCAAAAATGGTATTTGAAAATGGTATATCTGATCATGTTAGTGCTCAGATTGCTACAGATCTAAAGCTACCCCCCTCGCATTTGATTGATCTTCCAGACTCTCCTCTCAGAATTTGCTTTACTCACCCCATACTTCATCACCAGTACATATACCTTTTACTTTGGCAGTACCGAACATTCTAGAACCTCAAATCCACACTTTGGCATGTTTTGTGTATTTTAAAACTAGATCTTGGTGCTTCATGACCTCTTCTCTTCTTTTAATATTCCAGAATTTGTCAAACACGTTTACCTTCACACAATCTGAACTAATCACAAATCTCTCAATTCAGATTTATCCCCTCTCATTCTTCTTTTTCTTTTTTCTGTCTGAAGACACCCTTAACTTAAAAAAAAAAAACACTTTTTAAAAACTGTTCATTGTGAATTGAATGAAGTTTTACAGAGCAGATCATCAGTTTTACATTCAACAGATCATATGTTGTTATTGTTAAGTGCTGTCGAGTCGGTTCCGGCCAATAGTGACCTTGTACAGGGTTTCCGAGGCTGTAAATCTTTACGGGAACAGAAAGCTTCATCTTTCTCCCGAGGAGGGGCTAGTAATTTTGAACTGCTGACCTTAAGGTTTGCAGCCTGATTCGTAACCACTACGCTACCAGAGCTCTTTTTCATTACAGTGATTGCAATCCCCTTTTTAAGCACCATCAGTTTAACAGTGGTGGTGGTTGTGTGCTGTGGAGTTGGTTCTGACTTATAGTGACCCTGTATAGGGTTTCTGAGGCTGTAAATCTTTACGGGAGCAGAAAGCTTCATCTTTCTCCTGTGGAACAGTTGGTAGTTTCGAACCGCTGACCTTGAGGTTCGCAGCCCGATTCATAAGTCTTGTACTCTTCTCTGTGTCTTCCATGACCTTCATCTCTCCTCTGCCAGCTTCCCTCTTGTTGTACATTACCTTCCCCATCACCCAAGTTAACATTTGTCTACCCTCTACCCCATGAATAGTTTCCCTTCCTTTCTACCCTTGGTAACCATCATAGGATGTTTCTTTAGCATGAAAACCTTTTCTTAACTTTTTGCAGCAGTGGTCTCATATAATACGTATCCTTTCATGATTGACAGTGTGGCACTGTGAATCAGCACTAGACTGTTAACTACAAGGTCAGCAGTTCAAACTCACCAGCTGTTCCTCGGAAACCCTAATGGGGGTCACTATGAGTTGGAACTGACTCAACAGCACTTAACAACAACAACACATTGCACTCAGCGTAATGGTCTCACCTTTAACTCTTTAACCACTTAGAATCATTGCTGAGTTTTTGCCTTGTTGTTAAGTGCTGTCAGGTCAGTTGTGACTCATAACAACCCTATATAGGATTTCCAAGGAGTGGCTGGTGGATTCAAACTGCTAACTTTCTGGTTCAGTGCATTATCCTGCAGTGCCATATTCCAATCACAATAAATACATTTCTTATCAAGGAAACTACCCTTCCTTGCTTCTTCTCCTGCCCTTCTTCCTTTCAGTGCCCCATTAATCCAGGTAAGACCTTTTAGTCATCCATACTAGAAGTATGCAGTTAATGAAAGAAGAGAACAGAGATCAGAACCATCACAAGTAGCCATTCCCGTCTGATACAGTCTAGTCAGTGTGCGCATGGTTACCATCCAGACCTTATTTCTTTTCCCTTCAGGAGACTGTGGAGTAAAAGCTAGAGTCTAAGAGGAGGCAGCAGGGATTCTGGTGCTCACCTTTGGAAGAGCTCTTTGCAGCACACGTAGGTCTCATAGCTGCTGTTGGTGAAACTTGTGCTCAGAAAGGAGACACAGTCAGCTTCCATACCCCTGGGGACATGGAGGATTCCTGAAAAAGGAGACAGAGCTACTAAGGAAAAGTTTCTACATGGTCTTTTAGATTCTATTTTTTCTTTGAGTGTTAATGAAATACATTATAGATTAGGTGGCTCATCTATGCACCTGAGGAATGGATGATTCAATCAATGTTCTGGGGAAGATCCTGTTATAATCTAGGTGAGTAATTTCTGCAACCACCTCTGGTCT